TTTTTTTCCCCCCAGACAGAAGCAGTGACAACATTGCCCTGGGTATTAGTTGTAGGGCAATTAGAATTCATAACTTCTATCTTCTACCAAATTCCTATTTGCTACTGTCCTGTGACCTCCCAATTCCTTGCTGCCTTTCATTATTTAACTGACCATTGGTTGAAATTGCATGATATATTCTACTATAGGGCCTGATCCAACATCATTCTGTTATATATAAATAGTGTTGACTAAGAATGATCAAATATGTTTTTGATTCATCATGGTGTGCCTTGTGCAGTGTTTATAGTTAGTCATACTATGCAAATCAATTTAATTAAAACATGTGACAGACTTGTTAATGTAAGTCTTGTATTTGATTGTTTTATTGGTGTGTATGTGTGGAAAGTGTTTGTGAATGATAAGACTCTTGATGAGCTCCTCATGTTCATGTGCCTTTTTGTGCTGATGAATGAGTTTGACTGAAACAGGGCAGGGCTTCCAGCATTCTCCTAAATTTTTCCTATGCATGGAAATGCACACAGGTTTAGATTTCTTTGACAGAAGGGGAAAGAGTTAACACTTACCTTCAGCCTAGTCACTTCTGATGAGTTCTAACAGCCCTTGGTCCAGTGTGTGGCACTGTGCACGTCAAAATGGCAAACTGGGAAGAAGGTTTCCCTTCTTATTCTCTAGCATTTTATATTCTTACTGATTAATTCAAGAGGCAATTTTTTTTCCTTCCAAGAAGGGGAAAAGGAGAAATCAATTATTATATCAGATGTTTATATACTGAAATTGTTTAAAAATAATTCAGTAAAGTTAAACTTTACTGCAGTAAAAATAATTGGCTGGTCCTTTATTATCTTGTATATAAAATTGAGGCCTTAGAGATATCTTTGAAGAGAAACTTAGAAACCTCTATAAAGACAAGGTTATTATGTGTCACTTTTGGAAAACGAGGTAGAAGGAAGAGAAAATAGAGAGCAGCAGTGGAAAACATTAGGTGTTTGAGACAGTGGTTGACTTAATGGAAGAAAGTGTTTTTTCTGATACAGTGGTTATTTTGGCTATTTCCAAATTAACTGTAAAAAAACCCCAAAACGAGGTACGGAGGTGAATCCCACATGTCTTTTTAAGGCTGGTTTGTTTCGCCTAGATTTAAATGCTAGAGAAAAGGAAGTTTCTAGTCCTTTAAGGCTGGATAAATAGCTGTTTTCCCATATGAGTAGGAAAAAAAAAAAACCAAAAAAACCAGGCCCTACTTTCTCCATCTTTTAGGCTTGACTTCCTGATTCAAAACCTGGTGAAGTAGAAAATAAACAGACATGTGATTGCTGAAGAAAACTAGGAATAGATTGAGTTTGGAGTTTAGTTAGTGTATGTATATTTCAACATAGCCCTGTGAGGCAGAGGGAGTTGATGATCTTTATGGATCCCTTAAAATTTGAGATTTGTATGATCCAGCACTGCCTATAATATGTATTTTAAAATGAGTTCTTAGAAAAAGCTTTTGATACAGATGATTAATATTGAAAATATGAAAAATCTATACAAAATATGATTTGTGTGTTTTGATGATTAGGTATGTTAAAATTTTTTGTTGTAATGTTTTTTGCAGAACAGGATGGGAGATTTTCACTGAATTTTCCTGATTTTTTTTTTTTCCCCAAGAAAGAAACATTTGGAACCTAGTTCCCAACGGAACCCTGTTGTTTCAGAGACGGAAAACATGAATATGAAAGCAAAATTCTAAGATAGTTATCTACCTTGCCCTGAACCCCTTCAGTTGTAAGAAAATCAGAAAAAAACAATGGAGTAGTGACAATCTGTAAAGGAATGTATGCTAAAATAATATATTTACTTGATCTATTTCTTGATACAAAATACGTGCAAGTTGAGGGGAAGCTTTCACGAGGTAGTGGATGTGGAATGTAGTTACATGCAATTCATTATACTCTAAATCACAGTAATGAGCTTCATGGACAGTTTGGATAGTTTACAGGGAATGAAACAATCCTGTTAATGAAAGAAGATAGCAAATCTAGAATTCAGCCATGGTGACTGGCTTCAGCTTCCTTTGCATTTCATAGGTAAAAATATCAAGTCTTAATACCTGAGGGTAAAGCAGAAACATCTCTCAGTGTGTTGTCATAAATATTTACATTTCCTGTATCATGATATAAGTGTCCTAATGGTCCTTGTTAAACTGCTGTTAAAGACTGATGCGTATCAGATGATGATGTTTTGTGCAGGTAATTATACCTATAGAGTCCAGTGGGTGAAAGTGGGTGTGTTTAAGTGTCATGGTTTGAGTGATAATCAGTTTGCAGGTGTTGTAAAAAGGAAAACCCATAAATGACCCAGTGCCCTCAAGATACACAGTTGCCCTCACTCCATCAGTAAGAGAGATCAGCTGTGATTGTCTTAATGACAAAAACATAGATGACTAATGGTTAGAGGGGGAAAAAATATCAATAATGGGGGTTATTTAAGAAAATTGTTTGGTGTTTTTCTTAAGTGTTTAACAGCCTTGTTCCTAAAATTATCCACCCCTTTGTTCCCGCAGGGGAATGTTGCTTTCATCCCAGTTTTCATAGGGAAGCTCCCACGTAGATGAGACGCGGCTGAAATAAGCAAAGCTTTCCTGCTAGGAATACCTCAGGAACTTCTTTTTCTTCCTTAAACCAGTGGATTGAGGAAGGGGGAGTTGTCAGTACAGTCTCTTATGCAGTGCTGGTACCTTTAATGTATATTCAGTAGTATTTTTAGAAATGTTTTTCAGAAAAAAAATTTGCCCAAGTGCCTAAAGTTATGGGGGTTTTTTATTATAATAGGTATCCCTTATATGTAGTAGGTTGTATTATATTAGGCATTTGAAAACATGTTGTGAGCTGGCATAGTTTTTAACCACAGGAACCTTGAAATAAAACCTTGCTGTGTAAGCTGAATGTGCTGTTGATACTTTTGCTCTGTCACCTCTGCATTAGTAAGTCAACAGGAAGAAAAATGTGCCAACACCTCAGTTGCCTGTGTGTCATTGCCCAAATCCATCTGCACTAGCCCCTGAAGCATCAGACTTGGTTATTACTACATTTTGTATGGAGGGCAAGTCACTCTTATGGGTGTGGGGGATTCTGCAAGGACCAAGGAAGTAATTCGCAGTCCTGTAGCTGTCCTGCATGACTCCTGCAATAATAGGGAAATGGACATGCTGAAACAGTAAACATACCTGTAAGGTGGGAAGCTGCCCCAGTCAGGTGTATTTTTGTGTGCTATATACTTCTGACATGTTTTGAAATGCCTATTTAAGGACTTTCTAATCAAAGGTGATTAAACATAATTTTTAAAAGGTAGAAATCCATACTTAGTGATTTAAAGCAGTGAAATGGGGTGGAGCAATAGTTAATGAAGCTGCCATATAAATATTGTTTTCTATTACTTTTTTTTCTGTTGGCAAGTCTTGGCACGTATGAAAAATTGTGATGGTACTAACTACTGTCCACCTTGTGTGATGATGTGTGTTCTGTTATGTAGTGTTTGTGGTTAGGTGGATGGGATTTGAGGAATGAAGCTCTTTCTCTTTATGGAATAAAGTAGTGGTGCCTATATAAACGCCAGAAGGCAAATTGGTGAGGCAAAGAGCAGCTTGTGTTAGAGCTTCTTTCCTTACTCCTTTGTCCACACCCTGTAGTACAAAGTGTCTCTAACTGCACACGAATGACATCATGTGCAGCTTCCGTGTACGCCCAGAGTCCAAGGTGTAGCCAGGAGGAAATACATACTAGAGGTGGGCTCTGGGCTTGGTCCTGCAGAATGCTTCTGTTTCGGTTGGGTGTTTTGTGGCTGGGCTGGAGAGGGAGGAACGGTGCAGCTGAGCCTTCAGGTGGTGCTGTGTTCTTCTGGATCTGATGTGATCCTGGCTCACGAGCCTGAGATGTGCAAGGACAGAGCTATCCTGCCAGCTGAGCATGATCCAGGACTCCTCTGTAAAGAGCACCCCAGGCCACTGTGGCAGTCAGCATAGTTCATGTCATAAATTCTGACCCTGCTTCGGTTTTGTTACCTGTGTCGTTAGGTGATCACATACATTTGTGTGACTCGCAGTTTTCAATGAGCCACCTACAGACTTGTCAGCTACTGTCTGTGCCATCTTGTGGTGGCTGATCAGGTTACATCAAGATTCCCTTAAACAAACAAACAAACATAAAACCAACCAAAACAAAACAACCCTGAAGTGAGGAAAAATAATGTACTTTTAAAATTATAGAGTGATTCCAGCTGGCAGTTTTTCTTCGGTAGCATTTTGAAATGGTGAGCACACCCTGAACTGAGGTGGAAGCAGATGAAATTTAAGGTGTCTCTCAGGTGAAATATCCGGCATGTTGCATAGTGGCATTTGCAGCTGTGAAGGATGAAACATTCAGATTGCAAAACTTGTGAGCAAGCATTGTGTTGTAAATGGCTTAGAGAAAATCCAGAATGCCAGCATATGAGGGAAATCAATTAACTGAAGCTACCTGGGCTGTTTGGACTTTGCTCATTTTGTGAAGTGTATCTTAAAGGTTGGTGCTGTAAAACTAATGGCGTGGCACAGAATTTTCAGAATTTTGTTGCCCCATGCTTTCCACACAAACTAGAAATTCTCATTTTTGCGTTTTCACATGTGGAAAAGAATGTCCCAACACCTGCCTGTAATTGTGGGTGTATGTATTCCTAATGCAAAAGGTATGTACTGCATAGGAAGGTGATTAAGGGGGTGGGGGGGCGGTGGCACGCACGACACCCAGCACATGCAGATACAGAAGAGGACTCAGCCTCATTGTTTTAGATTAGGCTGAAATTTTTAAACATGAATAAGCAGAACAGCTGAGCAAAAAGCAGGTTCATGCCTGGCGCCTTCCAGGCTTCTTTTCACTCAGTGCTCGTGTGCTTGTGCAACCGCAGCTCCATTCTCCCGCTGCCTGGAGAGGAGGAAGGAGCAGCCCCTGCTGCCGAGGAGCTCCCAGCTCTCCACAAGCGTGCAGGAGACAGCGTTCCCAAGGCCGGCTCGCTGCAGCTGAGGAGACAGCACTCATAGACCCTCCTTTGATTAGGATGTGTCCGTGTTGTCAGGGCAACTGTTAACAGCGGCGTATCATATTTTCTCCTCTTGTACTGCGTGCTGAATATTTTAGTGTGCTGTGGCTGGAAGAAGGTGCTGCTGCAAGGAACCTGGAGCTGTGGGCCGGGATCTGATTGAACAGGTTAAGACAGCAAAGAGCAGCATCCAAACCAATGTGCCTTTGATTAGGGCTTTTCTTCAAGGAGGGGAACGACTGCAAGCCTTTCCTGCCGACTAGATGTTGGTATTTGTCAGCTGTTTGCATACTGCTTATCCATAGGGGATCTGTTACAAGTGCTCAAATGAACAGACAGCGTTGCAGCTAGCAGCTAATCAGGGGCTGGAGTTTCTTACTTTTTTTTAATAAGCAAGAGGCAACAGCAGCATGCCTGGTTCAACTATTGCCCTCCGACAAGAGAGACTGAAGAAAAGTGCCAGGCCAAGTCCCCCAGGTTTATTCACCATTAATGAAGAGGATGAGCAGCAAAAAAATGGGAATTCCACAAGACTGAAAGGTACGTTGCTGTTCTGCAGTGCAATCAGGGCTGCCTGAGGGATACGTTGCACCGCAGGCACAGCAGTGTTTTATTAGCTCTTCTGTGTGCTACAGAGAGTCTGTAAGTGACTGGTGCAGTTTGGCACTCACAAATGTGCTGTGCATGATAGGTGTGTTTAAATCCCCTGGCTTGTTATGCAATTGGCTGCTTTGGCTCTGAAGAAAACAATACTTTTTAGTTATTAATCACATTTCTTCTGGTAGGGATAATGGTCCTGCATCTGAAATATATGGGTGAGCTTCTGTGTGTTTACTTTGACTTCTGTTTAGAGTCTGGGTAAATAACTGTTAAAAAGAAGGGTAGGCTTGGAGAGTACAGAATGCACTCTGCCTGTTACAGAAGACAGCTTTGCCAAAGACAATGTGAAACTGTCTATACTTCCACTCGTGTGCGGGAGGGGCAGTGTGCCTTTGGCAGAGTATAAAAAAATACACATTGTTCTAATATGCTGACTTTTTGTCTGACAACAAAACAAAACAGACAGAAAACACAAACTCAAGAAATTGTTAAAGAAAAATATTTTTGATGCTTAGGGTAGGTAAGCAGTGGTGGCAGAGGGATGCTGATGGCCATTGATTTATAGCAGATCTGTCAAGCCTGTGTAGCCACTGTCTGTATTGTATCATTTAATTCCTATTTCCTACATGGATCCTGGTATTTAAACTCTCTTAGTCGGGCAGGGATTCTGCTACTTACAGTTGTGAGTTTCTTTTTTTTTTTTTTTTTTGTCTTCAAGTGGTTCTATGTGTATGAGCACTTCTTTTGGGGGGGGCGGAGGGAAGGGGTGGATTGTACCAGTTTTTGTTTACAAAACAAATGCTAGTTTGTAGCCTCAAGACACTGTTTTAAATTTCAGTTATTACCATTCTACCATGTAACAGGAGAGCCTAGAAAGCATTTAAATAGCAAATTTATAGTATGTGTATTTATTAGATCTGAATAATTTACAGCTGATTATTTTCTTTTTCTGAAGGAAAAAGATAGCTAGCTTGGTAGCTTTTACAAGCAATTTCAGAACTCAGATCTTATTTGTTGGGGTTTTTTGAGTTTACAGCTTGTACTTTTTTTTTCTCAGAATAGTAAAAGACTTAACTGGTTAGAGCTTCATGATAAAATATATATTGCTAGTCATTGTAATATGCCTGTTGTGTTAGGATCTTCTGTTTGCACTTACCGGCTCTTCTGTGTATTTGAAACTGCCCATATAAAATGGAGATCCAAATTCTAGCGTGAGGTTATTGAATTCTTAATGTTTTAAGAAGCATATTACTTTACTTTATCACCCACTGGATGGCTTCCAGAGTCAACAGTTCATAAAGCTAAAAATCAATAATTTGCCTGGTTTTGTTCAATGGCACTGCTAGTTTCCCAAGACTTTGTTGACTTAGCTACTCTTTTCTACTTGCAGGAGCTACACATATGTGCTTGTCCTTTTGTCTCTCTTGTTTTAACTGAGATTTGATTTTTGATTATTCCTTTATTTTCTCTTGTTGCTGTGAAATGTAAGCAGATGCGTGTGAGCAGTAGCACAGATAGCAAGCAAACAAGTTCATGCAGTTTTAAGAAGATAAAAAATTTGTCAGCTTACCTTGACTGCTCCTGGTGAGAAATAATATAGGAAATGGTACAAAATATGCTGCAACGATATTAATTTGCTTTTCATTTTACTAGATATTTAAAATAGCTCATAGCGTCTCTAGAACAGTGCACCACTTGCACAGTGATACCTGTGGGTAAATACCTATGTCTGTACATCTGAATGTTATCAGTCATTAGGTGGGTTAGGCTGGAATGCCTGGTAATGAAGAATGCAGGTACTCAGGGTGCTGTTCTTCTCACCTGGTACCAAGAAAGGTCACTCCTGTGCAACTCTGACTGGGTGATGGACCCACATGGGGCTTTTGTGAATCTTTAGTGCCTGTTTTCTCTTGCTTCTTTACGGGGTTTGCCTTTCTTAGTTCTTTACCTGTTGTTTTTGCTCAGCAAGCACCTGCAGCTACTGAGATGTTTATGTTTTTTTTCTCTCTAGCACATTTTAAGTCAGGGTCATCTTTGTGGGAGATGGGCTAAATGTTGTCTTCATCTGCAGTTTCTGTTATCATGCTAGACCTGTCTTTGTTCAGCAGTTTAAAACCCAAGAGTCCTTTAATGGATCTGATACTCCAAAGAAGTTCCTTCCTCCATTAAGTGTATTTCAGTGTCATCACAAGATTTAAAATAATCAATATTTTAATATTTCAGGTCTTCTCAGACTACTAAGGCTTGATTAGACTTTTTATGAGAGTTGTTTTTTTTCAGAAACAAACATTTATGTGGATCTTAAAGTGGCTGGCCTTTGTGAGGTTTTCTGTAAATTGATTTTAGTACTGGCCATTCCTTTGCTTGTCTGGCTGCCTGCATTGTAATTGGAGGAGTCTGGTAGGCAAAATGAGTTTGTTTCTCCAGTGAAAACAAATAATGACAATGCTGGAGATATTAAAAGTGTGCAGTGACCTTTATAGCCATGTGCTCCTGATCTTTCCTTTGCTTTGATGTGAACTGTATTTACTGCTTTTTCAACAAATATTTTAACTTCCCTTCCTCCTCTTGGCTTTGGGACAAGGCCTGCATATTTGTTATATATCTGTATGGCACCCATTATTTCAGCGTCTTGAGATCCTGTTGTGTCGTGGAAGAGTGCAAATAAAAATTACTTTGAATAGCCTTTTTTACCTTTATTAACAGTATTTATTCTCCTTTCCTGTTATAACATTCAGGAAATTTGCTACATAGTGCACTCTTCAAATACAATTTCTATGGGTTTACAGAAGCTTATTCTGCACTTGAATTGGTTTTTGGTTTAGTTACCAGCTTTCCTGAAGTTCTGCAGCTATATTCACAAAAAAACAGGCAAACAGGAAGAGAACCACACACTTAACAGACTCAATGTTTCCTTAAAGCTTGTGTAGTTAAACAGATATTGTTTCTGTGACTGAAGAGAATGTGTGTATGTGGTTCTGTACATAATCACAAATACATGACTTTGAGTAGATTAGTGTTTAATTACAGGTATCTATCCTGTGTGTGTGAACTTCAGCTTCAGTCATTCCTTGAATTCAGGCACAAGCAATTCAATCTGCCTTAGAGGATTTCCCTCCTCTGCTTTGTTAATTTTGTGCTCCTTGGATGTAGTCTTAAAACCTTACTCAATTTTATGAAATTTTAAAGTGATGCTTCCTCTCCTTCCTCTTAGGAGGAGGACCTTCTCAACTGTTGATAATGTGTTTCTGAAGCTATCACTTGACAAGGCTAGAAAAACAATGCTCATGTTTCTGGGTTATGGATTTGAATACTTAATAACTGAAATAATTATGACATTCGTGACAAATTAGTGAAACTCAATTTAGCAATGGAATCCTTCAACATCCTGCTTATTTAAAACTGATCAAGGGAGGGTACTTCTAATCTACTGAGTGAGTATTGCTAATACAAAGCTAGACATACCTGCCTTAGCTTTCTGAACAGTAGCACTGATTCTTTGTCATTTTGAAAATAAGAGAAGGGCTTTTTTCAGTCCTTTGGTGAATGACAGTGATGTCAGTGATCACCAGCAGATTTTGCAACTGTTCTATGGCTGGTAATGTTTGTGCATACTGCTCGTTTCAGATGAAAGAATTGTCCAGAGACATGGAGGAGATTTCTTATATCATGACTGTTTGGGTGCTTAGTTGCCATGTTCTGTGTGTGTTAGTGAAACACATATTTCTTTTTAGACTCAAATTTTCTAACTTTTAGTTCAGTTGTTGTCTGTTACTGTGCGTCTATACCCAAAGCAAACTTAAAAGGCCTGAAAGAAAAGGGAACTTGGCATCTTCAAGTGCATTAAACTGATAGTCCTGGAAACTGAAACTGTATACTTACAAAACAGGTATTACATGGGGTGTGGAAGTGTAATTTTATCCCACGCTGCAGAGTGTGCCTCAGGCAGGATCCAGCATGACAGCAGAGTCTCTGGCTTTCACCACACTTTAAACCAGCAAAACTGCCTGGGATGGTGGCTCTCAATGGGGCCTCTTGATGCTGGTCAGGAGGCTGACCTCCAGTTTGTTTGGGGCAAAAAATGGTGAGCACTTGTTCAAGGCTGATGATCTGGCTTACCAAAATCAAGTACTGGAGGTTTTTCTGACAATATGTAGCCCTATCTTGCCCATCTGCATTTGAGGCAAAGTGAGTGAAAGGAGTGGATGGAAGAAAGGAAAGGAACCAATTCTCATTTCAATGCTGGTTGTGTAAAGGGGCAGGGCTGAGAACCCAGACAGTGTGGTCTGGTGTCCTGCACCTTCCACTGAATTCTGCTCATGTGTCTGTGCACTTCCTTTCTTTCTGCTAGCTAAGGCCAGGAGAAGAGGGGTCCAAAAGTATCTTTGATTCTTCTGGACATTTATTTACAGAATCACAGAAAAGGCTGAGTTGGAAGGGGTCCACAAGGATCATTGAGTCCAACTCCTGGCCCATCACAGGACCATCCCTGAGACTCACACCATGTGCCCAAGAGTATTGTCCAAACATTTCTCAAACTGCATTAGGATTGGTTCTGTGACCACTTTCCTGGGGAGCCTGTTCCAGTGCCCAACCATCATCTGGGTGAAGAACCTTTTCCTGATATCCAACCTAAACCTCCTCTGACACAACTTCAGGCCATTCCCTCAAGTCCTGTAACTGGTCAGCATAGAAATCAGAGTCTGCCCTGCCTCCTCCCCTCACAAGGCAGTTGTAGATTGCAATGAGGTCTTTTGAAATGCCTCTCAAAGTGTCTGGGAGGTACATTCTTTAAAAAGCCCTACATTCATTGTTAACAGTGTAGCTGTTGGGGAGACAAAATGAGCTGGTGTTTTTTTCAGCAAACTGCTGCCTCTGATTATAGGGAGTCCCCTTTCATAGCTGTAGGTGCTAGGTAGCAGGAAGCATCCCATTTGTAA